TAATCTATTTATTTAATTAAATAATTTTTAATATGTGACTTCGCTTTGCTGTAAGAATTTTTAAAACAGTGTCATTAAAATTGATATGCATTGTTCTCAAAAAGGTTATCATCTTCCCTTCTATATTCATATGCTGTTACTTCTGTAATCCAAGGGCCACTTTGTTAACTGCCTTGCCTCACTCTCCATCTGGTCTTTTGTTACAAACCATTGTTAGGCAACTAGTTTCCCAATCCACTTCTTATATAATAACTACTCCTCTGGTAGCATCTGGTAACTCCTAGCATTATAGTTCCTTCTAGGAACTTGGGCACTTTCCTTCATTTATAATTGAGTTATGACGTCGGGCTTGCTATTTACACTGTAATATTATTATGTACTGTTGCATCGATCGCTATGAGCTGCTGACATTTTTTACCATCATTCTGTCGCTCGTATGTCATGAATTATTTACCGTCTGTTTATGTATGCACCTGTAAGTACGAATGTGTGAGGTATAATGGTGAGTATGTTTCACAGAGTAAATAACTCCTGCCAGGAATCCTGAGAAACACAGACTGGTAAACAGCGGCGTGGAATCTAATCTATTTAAAAAAAATAAATTCTATACTAACTACTTTTTTTGCAATAAAGGAAAAACTGAAAAGACACTGACATTATTTCCTGAATCCTCAAGATTTTAACACAGTCCTCGAGAAAGATTGGATAACCTGAAGATAATAGAGCAGAAAATATACTGGACTATTCGAATAGGAGTTTACAAGGCATCCAGTGCACTAGTGAGGGAGATAGTGACAGCTTCTGCAGGAATTCACGACCCAAAGATTTTCCAAGGTAGTGAAATATCCTTGCAGACTCCATAAGCAGACCAGCCCTTCCTAAAGAACACAAACAGACCCAGTAAGATAGCTCCACTTTGGAGAATATCGCCTTAACGATTCTGGACAATTCCTCAGGAAAGGCCGAAGCTCTCATCCTAGTGTTCAGGGCGCCACATGCGGGGTAGTTCCTTCTGGATGCCACTAGTGCCTTCTTGGTAACGCATTGGCAGACCAATTTGTGCTGCATAGTTTCATCTGGCTTAAGTCACAAGGAAAGAAATGGAAGATGTGAAGAGGCCAATGATTTCAGGTGAAGCCACTCCCGTTGTCCATCTGAAAAGAAACCTAAGCTGAACAGACGTGATGGCAGCCAGAAACAAATGGATGGACTCACCACTACCCTGGAAAGACGGTAAGCTGATGATATGGGATTACACTTGTGCATATAAAGTGGCTGAACCTTACATCCGATGCACCGAAGCCTTGGTGGGTGGAGCCGCCAGATGCAGGGAGACCCAAAGACCCATATATACGTGCCTCGTGGTATGTTACAGCATGCGACAGCTTCTCCTGGAGCAAGAGAAAGCATTAAGTAGAATACAGTTATCTAAACCTGGCTATCCAGACTACTTCACATAATTACAGCTAAGTAATACCAACAATTACTACTTCAGAACGGAAAATTCTGCAATGCCAAAAAAGAAAACAGCAAAACTAGTAATGCCTTTCCACCACCGAGCTCTTATCTTCCTTCCCAAATAAATTAAGCAGTTGTTATTCAAAGATCAACAAGAGAAAATCTGGTTGGTAGGTAACAGTTAGGTAACTTTATTCCGAAAAGTTTCGCATACACAGTAGGCTTCTTCAGTCGAATACAGAAAGTAGGCAGGAACAGTAGAGATGTGAAGACGATGTAATCAGTCCATCACCCTTGAAGTCGTAGAATTTGAGGTTGTCAGTTCCTCAGCCTGGAGAAGTTCAGTTCCATAGTCAGGAACTATCTGAAGATCAAGCGACAGTGCGGAGACTTAAATACTGTCGGAAGGAGAGGTGCATAGTAGTAGTAGTAGTAGCAGTGAGAATGTAGCCACTGAGAGGTCAGGTCCCTCTCAGATCCAACAGTTCTCACTTGGAAGGGTTGTCTAAGGCGTCTTCTGTACCAAGAGGCCATGTGTTGCAGTGTCTGACAAGATGAACATCAAAATGGTATACAATACCGACAGGTTGGTAGGTAAGACACATAGGCAACAGTTAGGCAACTTTATTCCGAAACGTTTCGCCTACACAGTAGGCTTCTTCAGTCGAATACAGAAAGTAGGCAGGAACAGTAGAGATGTGAAGACGATGTAATCAGTCCATCACCCTTGAAGTCGTAGAATTTGAGGTTTTCAGTCCCTCGGCCTGGAGAAGTTCAGTTCCATAGTCAGGAACTATCTGAAGATCAAGCGACAGTGCGGAGACTTAAATACTGTCGGTAGGAGAGGTGCAGAGTAGTAGTAGTAGTAGTAGTGAGAATGTAGCCACTGAGAGGTCAGGTCCCTCTCAGATCCAACAGTTCTCACTTGGAAGGGTTGTCTAAGGCGTTTTCTGTACCAAGAGGCCATGTGTTGCAGTGTCTGACAAGATGAACATCAAAATGGTATACAATACCGACAGGTTGGTAGGTAAGACATAGGCAAAAGTTAGGCAACTTTATTCCGAAACGTTTCGCCTACACAGTAGGCTTCTTCAGTCGAATACAGAAAGTAGGCAGGAACAGTAGAGATGTGAAGACGATGTAATCAGTCCATCACCCATGAAGTCGTAGAATTTGAGGTTTTCAGTCCCTCGGCCTGGAGAAGTTCAGTTCCATAGTCAGGAACTATCTGAAGATCAAGCGACAGTGCGGAGACTTAAATACTGTCGGAAGGAGAGGTGCAGGGTAGTAGTAGCAGTAGTAGTAGTGAGATCATTCTTTTCATGGAAGAATGAAAAGTATTTGTTTGCAAGATAAATTGGACAATGCAGGTACTGGGACTTGAGTGAGGATTACTGAGAGAGATACTCACTGCTCCAAAAAGGAAAGTTGATATTCTAAGGGCGAAATGTTGTCTTTGCGATGACTGAAGGACCCTGGATGAGTCGTACAAGCATGGGAGCCAAGAAAAATTCAACATGAGCTCAGAAAGTCTCTCATGCCTTCTGTGCTGTTTCTGATTCCGAACAATGTCAGGGACCGAGCAACGGGACTAAGCTCCAGCTCCAGCGCGTTTTTGTTATACTTTTATTGTCACCAGAGACTTCGTCAAATCAGAGAGTGTGGTGGCCTTGCTGGTATGTACAAGGCTAAGGGTTTCAACATTTTCCACTTGGCCTGAGTTCTTAGTTTTCTCTTTCTCTCACTAGGACTTTACTAAGACAGGAATAAATAGTCTTCGCTTGCAGTGGTTTTGAAATATATTCTTCCGATACAAGAGATATTCGAGTAATCAGGCTTGGTATATCAGATGGTTCTAACGACCCCATTTCCCTATTTAAATATTAAATAAAGTATACGCAAACAAAATACGTAAATAATACCACACTTGTTTGGATCAATCTCTGAAATGAATAGAAGCAGAATATTCCCTAGTGTGAGCTGGGCTCCGAGGTATTGGTCCAGTGTGGTACGGTCAGTAAAGCACTGCGTACCTTGTTCAAAGGTTCGTAGGTTCGAGTCTCCCTCGGCCAGAGATCAGTGTTTGTGAATATTTCGCC